AAGGAAGGGCACAAGCCAGGCAGAAGAGAGAAGGAAGAAGCAGGTGAGCTGGTGCTGCAGCCCCTCTCGCCCCCAGCAAGCACAGAGGGAGCCAAGCAAGCCCACTCCCGGCCCTGAGGGGGACCCTTCTCATTCATTCACATGCAACCCACATAATTTCACCCACATTAGTCACAGCAATCCCCAGGTGCTTGTGAGAAAGACTCTAAATCAGGAGCTTGAAGAAGAATCAGAGCCCTGCCTTCCTCATCTTGTCTCAGGGTCGGATCGCATCATGGCAGCCACCAACCCAGCCACCCAAGCCACCCGGTTTATGGAATCGAGAGGCTGCTCCTGAATGATGAAGAACGTTGTGGTGCCTCTGCCACACAACTTTGCACAAGTCGCCTTGGGATCACAAGCTTGGCCCATGTCACCGAAGTAGGGTCCCCCAGCCTTTGGCCCTCCGGGTGTTTTGGACTTTGCTCCTGGGAATTCCTGCTGGCCAAGCTGGGCAGGGCTCCGGGAGGGGGGGAGTCTAAAGACCCCGGAGGACTAACGGCTGGGAGCCTTTGCTCAGGAGCTGAGTCTCACTGCCCCCGCTGCTGCTGCGTGGGGCTCCACTTACCCCCGCAAGCTGGCTGCCGGCTAACATCAGCTGGGCCTGGGGCAGGTGGGGCGGCTGGACTGGGGCCGGAGCCGGGGCTGGAGCTGGAGGCACCTCTGTGGGCTCTTCGGCTTTGATCTGCGGGAGGAGAAGAAGGAAGAAGGGAGTTGCGAGGGCTGCCTCTCTTGCTCCATCACCTGGGATCCCCAACATCACCACCTGGCTCCTTTCCCCATTTTTCTTCTTCTTCTTCTTCTTCTTCTTCTTCTTCTTATTCTTCTTCTTCTTATTAACTTTATTTGTACCCCGCTAACATCTCCCGGGGCTTTCAGACCTCGCTCTCCTATGCAAAACGATCCTCTCGCAACACACAACTAAAACACTTGGATTCCCCTTTCATGGCTGTATCTACATCCTAAGCAGTCCTGGCAAATGTCGTTGGGAAGGCACCAGAGCTCTGGGTCGGAAGATTCCAAGTTTCCTCGACACCAGGCATGGACAAACTTTGGCCCTCCCTCCAGGTGTTTTGGACGTCAACTCCCACAATCCCTAACCTCCTTGCTGGTGATCCTTGTTTGTTTTCTCCTAAAGCTCTTGAGAGTCCACTGAATGATGGGCATTTGGGAGGAGGTGGACTGTCTGGGCTGCCCTTTATAGAGCAAGTGTCTCTCCTTGGCATCTTCCTGTTCCTACTCCGTGCTGAGCCCAACCACTAATTCTCAAGACAACGTCTTAGACTTCTGCCGCCCTTCTGCGGCCAAAAAGAGCCCCGCCACGCAGACAGGAGCATCCCACCCCTGACCCCTGACCCCTGGAAGTTCTGACACATTGCCGCTCCGTTTCCTGTTTTGCTGCAGGTCCCCGGAGGCAGGGAATTCCCCCCCAAAACCAACCTTGATTCATGGGTTCCTACCCGGCTGATAAGAGAAGAGCGAGGCAGCGCAGCGCCCGCCCTGTGCCGCCACAGACCTCTCCTTTTGCACTGACACACAGAGACAAGGGCAACAGCGTGAACCGATCCTATTCTGATTCAGGGGGAAATGAGGCAGGGGTCTGGCCCACCCTCAGCCCCTTTGTCGCTTTGCAGGGAGAGCCACAACACTCCCGGCTCGCGTCAAGGGCAAAAGGCCTTATCTGATACTTCCTCTCTTCTGAAGAAAAGGCAGATTGCGGTGGTTTGCATATTATGCAAATTCCCTTCAGTTCCTCTATTAATAATCAAAAGGCAGGTAATAATCAGCCCCAAACATCTTTAATAACTTTGCAAGCTCCAGTTTCTGAAGAGAAGCCGCTCTTTGCAGGCTCCCCTTGCACTCCAAAGCTTGTTTACTTGCCCAAAGGCGACAACAGAGAGAGCAGGCATGGGCCAACTTTGAGGCATTTTGGACTGTGGAAGTCCGAAATACCTGGATGGAAAGTTGGCCCATGCTTGCTTGACATGTTGAAGAATGGGCTGGCGCTCTCAAGCATGGGCTGGCGCTCTCAATCCTAGAATCCTAGAGTTGGAAGAGACCTGGTGGGCCATCAAGTCCAACCCCATTCTGCCAAGAAGCAGGAATATTGCATTCAAATCACCCCTGACAGATGGCCATCCAGCCTCTGTTTAAAAGCTTCCAAAGAAGGAGCCTCCACCACACTCCGGGGCAGAGAGTTCCACTGCTGAACGGCTTTCACAGTCAGGAAGTTCTTCCTCATGTTCAGATGGAATCTCCTCTCTTGTAGTTTGAAGCCATTGTTCCGCGTCCTAGTCTCCAGGGAAGCAGAAAACAAGCTTGCTCCCTCCTCCCTGTGGCTTCCTCTTACATACATGGCTATCATATCTCCTCTCAGCCTTCTCTTCTTCAGGCTAAACATGCCCAGCTCCTTAAACCGCTCCTCATAGGGCTTGTTCTCCAGACCCTTGATCATTTTAGTCACCTCCTCTGGACACATTCCAGCTTGTCAACATCTCTCTTGAATTGTGGTGCCCAGAATTGGACACAATATTCCAGGTGTGGTCTAACCAAAGCAGAATAGAGGGGTAGCATGACTTCCCTAGATCTAGACACTATGCTCCTATTGATGCAGGGAAAATCCCATTGGCTTTTTTTGCCGCCACATCACATTCCTGGCTCATGTTTAACTTGTTGTCCACGAGGACTCCAAGATCTTTTTCACACGTACTGCTCTCGAGCCAGGCCTCATCGTCCCCCATTCTGTCTCTTTCCCTTCACTGCTCCCAGAAAGAAGCCTCCCAGCACTGCCAGTAATCACGAAAGGATGGAGGCGGATTTCCAATTGGAAGAGCAGGAGAGCTGAAGAAAGACCGGGGACTGGCCAGAGAGACTGATCGGAGCCTCTTTCCAAAGGAAGGAGGAGCAATACATGTAATACATATGGAGCTCTTCCTTCCAGGCAGAACAGCTGGAAATTCGGCCTCACCTGCCGCCCCTGAAGCAACGTTTGGGCAAATGGTGGCAAGGAACACACAGGGAAATCTCAGTGTCGATGTGGGTCTGAGGGGTGCCAAGGCTCTGGCTTCATGGGTGTCCTCAGAGAGAATTACACAATTTTCGTTCCTGGGTTATAAATGTCATTTCCTCATTGGTTCGATCATTAAAAACATGGAAAAGGTTCATTAAACTGCCAATATTTTGCATTTGTGGGAAGGAGGGAGGGAGGGAGATCATCCTGCAGCAGATTTTGCTCTGGTTTTTCAATGAGTATCTCATCATCAAGTCTCAACCAATCCAACCTAGTTTGTGTCAGCCACAAAAACAATAAAGTTTCTGGAGTAGAACAAGCATTTTCAAAGAAATTAAACAGGAATAACACTTTAAAACCAGAAATAGATATTTTTCCAAATTTTGTTACATCCTGTTATTGTTGTCACTATTGTTGTTGTTGTTAATGGTTGCTAGAAATGCAGCAGCCAGTGTCCAAATCAAGAAGCCTTGATTTGCAGTGCTGCTCAGCCCTGGGCTTCCTCCAAGGTTGCGAGGAGCACACTTCCAATGAGGAAAGACATGGCTTCCCGCTGGCTAGGAGACCCCTCCAAGCCATTCCTTTCCTATCGTGTGGGCCATCGGTCCCCCTGATTCCTCCCCACTGGCCGCATTGATTGGGGCCGGAGGGCCGGTGCTGGTGGCGCAGGGAGGCGGGCCTTACCTTGGTGCCGGTGCTGGTGGGGGACGGAGAGAACGGAGAAGGCTTGCTCTGCTGGGTCTGTGGGGGTCAAAGAGGGGGAGGGAGTGAGCAACCGGGCAAGCAGGGGCTCTGCTGCCATGGCTCAAACCCCCCCTCCCACGCACCATGAATTCCTGCCCCATGTTTCTCACCTGGTGATTTGTGTCAGGTCCATTTCTTTCTGTATCTATAACCAAAGAAGAGAAGCTCATCACAAAAGCGACCCAGGGAGACTTCCTTCCTAGACCCACATCCCTAGCCCCACGGAACCCCCATGGAGCCTGCTGGGCCCACTCTGATTTTTCTCCAGGATTGCCTGCAGTGTGCTCATCTCCTCTCCAGCCTTGATCCATGAAGCCCTCAAAAGTAACTTCTCCAACTCTGGGCATGGTAAGCCGAATACCCAGCAAATCTTGCTTGTGGAATGATACCGCTATTCTGGGCTAGGGGGCAGGTCATGGGGTAGAAGGGGGTCCCCGTGCCTTGAGGGCCCCTTGTTCCCACGTCCCCTGAAGCAAGGGGGCCCGGAGGCCTGGCTACCTGTGTGCTCTTCTTGCAGCTCCAGCCGTGCCTTCTCCAGCTCCAGGGGCTTAGACATTCTTACTTCTGGAAGAGAGGAGGAGGAGGGGGCAAGCGGGGAGGGGGGGGAGAGGGGGGCAGAGAGAGGGGGGCAGCCATTGAGATGATGGGAAAGGCCTGGGACAGGCTACACAGAACAACGCGGAGAGCAAGGCCTGCCCACCAGGACACCACTCTGTGGAATCCTCGCATGCTCCAATTAAAAGAATCCCCAAGACCACCGCCTTTGCCCCCAAAGCCTCTCTTTGTTTTGGGCGCCCAGAATGGCCCAGCCCAAAGGAGCCTTTTTACGAGATGCACAGAGATCTGCACCCTTAGCACTTCCCCAGCAATTCTAGCACGAGGATTGGGGAAAATTTCCTGTCATCACTTGGCTTTGCTGTTAACCAAAACAGAGACTGTGGTCAAGAAATGAGAAGAGGACCGAGACGGTGACGGAACCAGGGGGGAGGCACCAAAGCCAGGCTGGCGGCAGGTTTCTGGTCTCGGGCTGTGAACGCTGGACAGCAAAGGGAGTGGCGGGAGCAGACCCAACTGCTGTGGCCATATCCCGAGTACAAGGGAGCAGGAAAAGGAGGTGACCAGGCAACAGGCGGGACCGACACCATCCAGGAAGCCACAGCGCCTGCCCTGACCTTCCCGTGAGTGATGGGAGCCCTTGGGGGTCTCTGGGGCTTCTCTGGCAGGGCCTGCGACCTGCTGCTGTGGCGGCGTTGGTGTTCTCCACCCCCCTCCCTTCCTCCAAACACTGGCCACCCTCCTCTTCTTCTGGCTGGCTTTCACTTCTGCTTCCCTTTCACATTTTTAGACACTTTATAAACAGCCTCTCATTTACTGAAAGCCCAGCTAAAAACAGATGCCCTGGGGCTGCCCCCTCCCTCCCTCCCTCTTGTTCCAGGGCCCAGATCCTCTGACTTTTTCTCCTCTGCCATGGGGCAGCTACAAGGAGGGCCTCCTAATGGGAAGCTTTCCCGTTTAGAAACCAGCCTTGCCCACAGGTATTGAGGAAGAGATTTCTAGCCAGCCCCGTTTCTCAGGAAGGTCTCCTCAGTGTTTGGCCTGCCACCATCAGAGCTTCACCTGGGGCAGCGGCTTCTTGCAGATGCTTCCACTCCCCCACAGATGTGTCTGCTGCAAATCCACAAACCATCTTGACATTTATTTTCCTTTGGTCCCAACATTTCTAACATCGCAATTACTTCCAGTAGTTAGAAACCAAGAGTTTAGGTACTGCAAGAGAAGGACCGCATGTGGGTTTACGAACCCACATGATCTCTTCGATCATCTGGAGAGGCCTTGCTCACGATCCCACCTCCATCGCAAGCACGATTGGTGGGGACGAGGGACAGGGCCTTCTCGGTGGTGGCCCCTCGACTCTGGAACTCTCTCCCTAAGGACATCAGGCATGCCCCAACGTTGGCAATTTTTAGGAGGAGCTTGAAAACGTGGTTGTTCCAGTGTGCCTTCCCAGAATAAGGAAACTCCAAGCAATATGTCCCCAAATGCACTTTACTAGAGACCCAGGATATCTGCATGCCCCACCCCCCTCCAAACACCTACCCTTTTCACCTGGTCATGCCCAGCATATTTTTAATTTTAACTATTACATTTGGCCCTGCCATAGTTTTTAATGCATTGTGGTGTTTTGTTAATGTTATTGCTTTGTTTTGATTTCATTTTGTTATTGTTGTTTTACTGTTGTAGTTGGGCTCGGCCTCATGTAAGCCGCACCAACTCCTCCGGGAGATGGTAGCGGGGTAGAAATAAAGGATTATTATTATTATTATTATTATTATTATTATTAGGAGGCGGGACTAGGATTCCTTAAGTTGTTGCCGGACTGCATCTCCTACCCTGGCCAGGAGAGAGGGCTGCTGGGAGTGGCGCAACTGCAACACCTGGAGGAAACCCTTGACAGAAAGGAAGGAAACAAGAGCAGCTTGAGAGCATTGGAGCTGAAAAGCCAGCGGCCCCAGCACTCCTCCCCACAAAGCACGCGGGATTCCTTGCCTTTGCCCCCCCAAGGACCATCCGTCTGCCTCCGGTCAATGGGGATGCAGAATGACCGCTGGCAAGAAGGGCTCCCTGGCACAGAAGAGGGAGGCGACTGCAAACGAGAACATGGCAACAGAAGCAAGGCCACGCGCACAAAGCCATGGCTGCTTACCTGTTGCCCACAGGCCCCAGTTCACCATGGCTAGGATCTGCTGCCTGGCACAAGGAAAGGAGGAGGAGGAGGAGGAGGGGTGGTTGGTGCCAGCGGCGCAGATGGCAGGCAGCGTGTGTGTTCCCCAGTGAGCAAGCGAGTGAGCAAGCAAGAGGGGAAGGGCGGCAGGCAGATGAGGAAGGGCCTCTCCTCCTCTGTCTTCGGGGCAAGTCTGGGGGAGTCCCCGTGCGCCTCAGAAGCCAGAGCAGCAAATGTGGCAGGAAGCAGCTGGGAGGAAGGAGCCATAGCAGGCCTTGTGTGTGAGAGAGTGAGGGAGGGAGTGAGTGTGTGTGAGACGGAGAATGTGAGCACACACAGGCGGGGAGTGTGGCCCTGGGCACACAACAAAGGCAGCAGTGCCAAGGCGTCCCCTTTGTCTTCAGACTCTTCCTGGAGTTTGTATAAGGCAGGCATGGGCAAACTTTGGCCCTTCCTCCGGGCGTTTTGGACTTCAACCCCCACAATTCCTAAGTTTGCCCATGCCTGGTCGAAACCCACACATTCCTGTACACAAACATTAAGTGTTTGTGAACTTTTCTGAACTTTTCTCCTCATAATGGCATAGACGCTTTGGTGTCCGTGCAGAACAGGGAGCCAACTTCCTTCATGATTTGTCTCGCATAAGGGGGCAAAATAAGCCAAGATGTACCTCCTTGGTCATCACCAATACAGACACAAATGCTTTCTACCCTGGGTATGACTTCAGTTGCACAATGGCTGGGCACGAGCATCCAAAACATCCCGCTAGACTACTTCTCCATGAAACCCAAGGCCTTGAAGGCAGCAAGAAGAGGCGCTTCCGGACCTTCAGTCAAAAGACAAGTTTTGCCTCCCTCTTTCTTTCTCTCCCCTTTATGGCAAATAAAGAAGACACAAGAAGCAAACAGATGGCTATTAATAAGAAAAGAGCTGTCTGCATCCCCATAAAATGCAACAAATGAAGCAAAGCACCAGCCCTACCCTCACAATTGAGTGGCACCGGTCTGCCCACCCGTGCCCAGGAATTATTATTGCAGATTCATTGTGTCAAGGTCAGGCGCCAGCTAATTAAAGAAGTTTTCCTCCCTCTTCTAATACAACTAGTGTTACTACCACTGTCAGCAGGCTCTATCACAACACATTGGTTGTTGTTTTGATGGTTGCTTTAATATACAATGTTATTGTTCATTTTCCGGTCCTAATTCAAGGTGCAGGTGCTTACCTACAAAGCCCTAAACGGTTTGGGACCCGCCTACCTGCGTGACCGCATCTCTGTGTACGAACCCACACGATCTCTTCGATCATCTGGAGAGGCCCTGCTCACGCTCCCACCACCATCGCAAGCGCGATTGGTGGGGACGAGGGAGAGAGCCTTCTCGGTGGTGGCCCCTCGACTCTGGAACTCACTCCCCGGGGATATTAGGCAAGCCCCAACTCTGGAAGTCTTTAGGAGGAGCCTGAAAACGTGGCTGTTTCAGTGTGCCTTCCCAGAATAAGGAAACTCCCAGCAATATGTCCTTAAACGCACTTTAATAATGATTTAAGATTGTCTGCACATTTCTTCCCTCTCCAAAACCTCTATCCCAATTACATGTCACCTGTTCATGCCCAGCATTATTTTTAAAATTTTAATTATTACATTTGGCCCAGCCATAGGTTTTTAAATGCGTCGTGTTATTGTTAATGTTTATTGCTTATTTTCTGCTTATGAGTTTATTTATTGTTTTGTATTATTGTTGTTATTGTTTATTGTTGTGTTGTGGGCTTGGCCTCATGTAAGCCACCCCGAGTCCCTCGGGAGATGGTAGCAGGGTACAAATAAAGTGTTATTATTATAATATTATTATTGGGCTCGTCCCTATGAGAGCCACCCTGAGTCCCTTCGGAGAGATGGAAGCGGGGTGGAAAAATAAAGTTATTATTATTGTTGTTGTTATTGTTATTAATGAACCCAGCAGCCCCCAGCAATGGTCAAGCGCCTGGGTGGACCTTGGTGACTGGGCCAGCATTCCCAGACTCTGGCCACTGGAGGGCAGCAGGGCACCACAAATGCCACCCTCCCCTGGAGCCGCCCAGAAGCGCATTCACGCTCTGCCTTCAGAGGAGAGGAGTCCAGCCAGCGTCTGGCTCCCAACAGGCCACAGGGCCCCAAGGAGTGCCCCAGAGGAGGCCATTTAGCTTGGCCACATCCTTCTGTCAGAGAGAACCCATTACTATCAGAGGCGTCTACAACTGGACTTGGGATCATTCCTTTGCCAAATCCCAAGTGCAGAGGCCACAAACTGGCACAAAAGCTTTGAGTGGTTGGAGAGTGGATGCTCAGCCTGGGTCGGCCACCACAGCACTTCTGCCAAGGTCCACTTGAAACACACAAAACAAACACATGCTCACAGAACCCTTGCAGAACTAACACTCAGGCGTCCAACGCCAAGAAGGTACGCAGCCCTTTGTGCAAGCTGTGTTGCGTGCCTTTGCTCTTGGCAGAGAAAGGGGACCCAAGGGCCATCGAGTCCAGCCTCTGCTTTGCATGAACGGCCTGGAATTGCGAGGCCTTCCTGAGCTTAATGGGCTGACATCTCCAAGGAGCCAGGGCCCTGTGCTTGGGAGAAGCATCTCCCAAATTAATTCTCACACTCTGCTTTCCTAGCAAAGGCTGCCTCTGTGCTCAGGACAGGATTCTTGTACCTTCATCCGAAGGATGTCCAAACAAGATCCATAACTGCTGGGCAGCATTGAATGTCAGCCACAGCCGTGAGAGCTAAAGGCCCAATCCGTGAGGCACGGACCAGTATGGGAACGCGATGCCCAGCAGGCAGGCCTTCCCTTCAACACAAAGCTGGGTTCAGGATGCATCTGCACATGTGCAAAGGACACCTCATAGTGTTCCATTGCAGCCCTGCCATTTGGTTCCCAGGCATCCCGACTGAAGGCCACTCTGAGGCTGCCATCTTGTTCTGCTGCTCTGGAGGCAACCGGAGGGGAGCGACAGGTGGCCAGGCGCGAGCAGAGCCGGGGCTGTTGGGTCAGTGCTGGTGTGGCAACAGCCCTGTCCCTGCCCCATCTCCCCCCCCCCCCCCCGTGCAAGGAGAGCCTTGTGGGCATCATCCAGAGCAGCCAAAGTTCCAGCGTCAAGGGGCAGGGACCCCTCCTCTGCCCGACCCCTGCCTTCCCCCCCCCCAATCGTGGCTGCCGTGGCCGGCTGCAGCGGGCGGTAATGAGAGGAGACGGCCGGTGTCGCGGGCGCTCCCCCGGGGCTGCGGTTATTGTATGTGACGCGCCGGCTCCATCGCGCTGCTCATATTTCTCCCCCGATCAATACTTTTGACTCCCTACAAGACAATAATCGCTTGTCCGCGGCCGCCAGTCGATCAAATACATTATTAGAGTGTGCTCCCGGGGGAGCAGGCGAAGGGGGAGGCAGGGAGGGCAGCAGCATTGGGGGGCAGCCCAGGACCAGCACGGAACAACGGGGGGCATGGGTGGGGGCATGGCTGGTTTGGGGGTCCACGGCTGGCTACAATCGGCTTCCTTCCACAAACACAGGCCTCCACAGGTGCCTTGCTACCGCACCCAGAATCCCCCAAACAGCAGACCCACAGGGAGATCTGATAGATGGGGAACAAAAAAGTAACTTTTAACCCAAACGTGTCCTATACCCTCATTCTTCACCAAAAAGACTTTGTGGTGGGTTTTGTGAGCCGAGTTGAAATGACTAGTTTTCCTCCAAATTTCAGAGATGTTTGTCTGAGGAGCGATCTCCAAAAACATTCAAGTCTCCGAAACCACATCTAACAAAATCTGGTGACAATCTCTGAAGATACAGAAAAACCCTCCAAGGAGAAGGCATTAATCACATTGGACTTTCTCCCGATAGTGGATTTCACCCACAGACAGGGTTTGCTCCAGACTGTTCTTCCCCAGGTGATGCTTCAGGGGCCATTTGCCCAGGCCGCCACTGTCCGTGGCCAGGGAGGCTGTGAGCTGCACTCCGACAAGGCATGGAGGGCCACCGTTTAGTGTGACAAGAGTGGCCACTCTGCTCCTGGCTCTTCCCATCAGAATAGCTGTAAAGAATTTGGAAATTTCTCTTCTGATTCCACCGCAAGTCCAACACTGTTTAGCGTCTCAACCAAGTCCTACACCACAATTGTTAATCTGAACCAAAACAAGTCATCTTTGCAAACAATGGTCCAAAGTATCTTCATCTCCAAGGAAAGGCTTCACTGCAGACAAGGCTGACCACGATGGATTCGTCAAGAACCCCTCTTGGCGTTGCAGCCTATAAATCAGAACATGGAATTCTTATTTTATTTTCCTTTGACTCCGGCTCCCAGGACGTCCCAGAGCCTGGCTTGTATCAGGTCAATTGCATTTTGCACTCTAACACTAAAAACAAATTTACTAATTCTTTTTATAACTCCAAGGTGTATCAGAATTCTAAGAGTCTTTTCTTCCCTATTCCTTTCCCTGAAAATCTGAGGCCCCTCCATTGAATTTTCTTCAGGCTTCCAAAGATCTTGCATGAAACAGGCTGGCAAGAGACAACAGAGAGGATAGAAAGAATTTAAAAAAAAATATTCCCAGTGAACCTCTACAAAAATATTCCTAGACGGATGAGAATCTTCACAATTCAGGACTGATTCTGCATGAAATTCAGGAGTGGGTTTAATGCACAGGAATCACCCTTTTCTGTGCAGAAATAACATCTTTGGTCAGAAGCAGAATTTTCTGCAAGGAATGTTTTGTGTGCCAAAATAGGCCTGGTGAGAATTTTGCACGGAGAAAGTTCCACGCTGCAAATAGTCTTTGAAACGGGTGCCGCTGAGCCTTGCCCTCATCGATGCACATCCAACGCTCATTTGGGATCCGAAGGCAGAAGAGCTGGTGCCCCAGAGATGCTCCTCTCCGTCTCTGGGTTTCTTTTTCCTCTTCCTTTCTCTTTCTTAATATTCTCTTATGACTCTTTTTAAAGTATTATTTAAATAGAAGGGGCTGCCTGTTTGCTGCTTTTGCATAACCTGCACATCCCGTTTATCCATGCCTCCCTCTTGGCACC